AAGCCTATCACCAGAAGAAAAGAAATAATAAAGATTTGCATAGAAATAAATGAAGCAGAAAATAGAAAAACAACAGAAAAAATTAACAAGATTAGAAGTTGGTTCTTTGAAAAGATTAATAAAATCAACAAACCACTGTCAAACTTAACAAAGGGAAAGAAGGAGAAGACACAAAAAACACATGAATAAGAAATGAAATGGGTGATGTCACAACAGAACCAACAAAAATAGAAAGGATAACATTGCGATATTATGAAGATCTGTACTCCAACAAACTTAAAAACCTTGAAGAAATGGACAGATTTCTAGAAACACATTACTTACCTAAACTAACACAGACTGAGGTAGAGAATTTGGACAGACCCAAAATAAGAGAAGTAATTGAACACGTCGTAAAAAAATTACCAACAAAAAAAAGCCCTGGCCCAGATGGTTTCACTGGACAATCCTTCTCAAACTACTCCAGAATATGGAAAAGGATGGAATCCTCCTAAATTCATTTTATGAAGCAAGCACAACCATGAAACCAAAACTAGGCAGATACACTACTAGAAAGGAAAACTACAGACCAGTATCCCTTATAAATATAGATGTAAAAGATCTTCAACAAAATCCTAGCCAATAGACTCCAACAATATATCAAAAAAATAATACATCATGACCAAGTGGGATTCATACTAGGTATGTAATGATGGTTCAACATTAGAAAAACAATCAATATAATCTATCACATAAGTAAAATAAAATAAAAGAATCACACGATCCTATCAATTGATGCAGAAAAGGCATTTGATAAAATCTAACGCCGATTCCTGATAAAAACTCTCAGAAAAATAGGAATACCAGGGAAATTCCTCAACATAATAAAGTGCATATATACAAAACCAACAGCTAACATTAGCTCCATCTCTCAATGGAGAGAGATGAAATCAGACAATGATGTCTTCTATCACCACTTCTATTCAACACTGTATTGGAAGTCCTAGTCAGGGCAATAAGGCAAGAAAAGGAAATCAAAGGCATCCAAATTGCTAAGAAAGACGTAAAACTATTGCTATTTGCAGATGATATGATCCTATACATAGAAAACCCAAGACACTCAGCAAGAAAACTTCTGGAACTTATTGAAAGATTTAGCATAGTGGTAGGATACAAGACCAACATACAAAAATCAGTTGGATTCCTCTATACCAGCAAAGAGGTCTTTGAAAAGGAAATAAGGAAATCAATACCATTTACGATAACTACCAAAAGGATAAGATACTTGGGAATAAATCTTACCAGGAACACAAAAGACCTATACAAAGAAAACTACAAAACACTACTTCAGGAAACTGTAAGAGATCTACTTAAATGAAAGAACATACCATACTCATGGGCAGGAAGACTGAATGTTGTGAAAATGTCAATACTACCCAAAGTAATCTATACATTGAATGCAATCCCAATCCAGATTCTTTCAACATTCTTTAAAGATAAGGAAAAAATGACCACTAATTTTATATGGAAAGGAAAGATACCTTGGATAAGTAAAGAACTCCTGAAGAAGAACAGAGTAGGAGGTCTCACACTCCTGGATCTCAAAACCACCTATACAGCTACAGTAATTAAAACATCCTGGTGTTGGTACAATGACAATACTTCTTGTCAGTGGAACAGAATTGAGAACCCAGAAATAGATCAACTGACCGATGGTCAGGTGATCTTTGACAAAAGGCCAAAATCCATTAAATGGGGAAGAGATAGTATCTTTCACAAATGGTGCTGGCAAAACTGGATATCCATTTGTGGAAAAATGAAACAAGATCCATACTTCACACAATACACAAAAACTAACTCCAGATGGGTCAAAGACTTAAATATGAAACCTAAAACTATAAAGTTCATTGGAGAAAAAATAGAGGCAAATATGATGGTGAAATTAGGACATCGCCAGATAAACAAAAATTAAAGGAATTTGCTAATGCCAGATCAATCTTCCAAGAAATGCTAAAAGATACATGGAAACAATTAGTCTAAAGGATTAATGGGCCATACAAACCCCAGCCACCATGACCCTGACCCAGAAAAACTAGATGGTGCCCAGCTACCACTGCCATTCACGCTAAAAGAGATCACAATAAGTGGTCCTGGGTAGAGTGGGAGAAAAATGTGGAACAAAACTCAAAATCATTAAAAAAAAATACCAGGCTTACTGGTCTGACAGAGACTGGTAGAACTAAGCATATGGCCTTTGGTCACCTTTCAGACCTGGAACTGAACTCACTCCTGTAGCTCAATTTTCAGTCTAGCAACAGACAAGTCTATAAACCAAAACCAAAACCAAACTCACTGCTGTCAAGTCAGTTCTGACTCATAGCAACCCCTCCTTGGGTTTCCAAGGCAGTATCTCTATGGAAGTAGATTGCCCAGTGTTCCTTCTGAGGAGTGGCTGGTGGGTTTGAACCACCAGCCTTCTGGCTAGCAGTCAAGTGCCTTAGGCACTATGCCACCAGAGCTCCTATTCTAGTAAGGTACACACTCCTTAGAACCATCAACCATTACAGATCAAAAGAGCTGCATTTGCCTAAAGACAAAGTTCAGAAGGCAGGAAGAATTAGGAGAAAAGGTGGAATGGAAATGAGATACACAGGCAGGAAATGGGAGGAGTGATACTACATTGTGGGAACTGCACAATCAGGAATCAAAATGTGCATGAATAGTTGAACGGGAAACCAATTTGCTCTGTAAACTTTCACCCAAATCACAAAGAGTTAAAATATATGTATATAATGTCACTGATCATGTATGTGTGTCCAAACAATGCATCATGTAATCTGTTTATTTCTGAGTTCTTTGAAAATGGATTCAAACAAGATGAACAAGATGGAAGGAGACTCTAAGTGACCATCTGGAGCAAGACTATCCCACTGTCCTGGACCATTATAAGGGAAATAAACTTTGTCCTTTAAGTTACTGTATCAATGGGTCTCTATTACAGCAACTTAGCCTTCATTCACCCTAATACATTCTACCCCCAGGACCTTCCCTACCCCCACAAGTAGCTGTGCAAATTACCCGAGGCAAAGTCTCACATCCACACCCTGGATACCAATAAAACTTCAGCTTGAAAACTGCACTGTCCTCTGCACATGGGCTTTGATGAAGCCTTTTCAAAGTCCTTCATTTTTCTCCTCTCAGAATATTTCCAAGATGATTATAGGGGGAAAAGAAGTGAGGTACTGCTTGACTGTGGGTTTTCTTTTTTCCCCCACCCTTCTTGGTGGTCACCAGTGAAGAAACAGACTCTTTAATGTGAGTGAAATAAATAAATTTAATTAGTTCACAGAATGGTTTGTCAGCTGTGTGCCCTTTCTTAATTTTGTTCCAGAAAGTTGTTTTGGGAAATATTCTTCAAACTTTCCTTCATATCAAGAAAAATTGAGGGAAGGTTGACTAATAGAGATAGGCTGGAATCCAGAGGATAATACGGCTGGATGTGCATTTTACCAGTTTAAAAAAAATGCTGTAAAACTATCTCCTCTCAATGATAATACTGCCATAAACCCAGTTTCATCAAATCAATTTTATGTACTTGAAGTAAAAAACTGAAAAGCAAAAATTTCCGTAAGTTGGTATAGAGACAGGTTTTGAAAAGTCCGCCAAGCCCAGCACTACCCCTGTACAAGTCTGCCTTTTACTTCTTGTCTATACTTGACAAAGACTGCAACCCTAAACCATGACTGATGACCAAATTGTCCTGATGACCAAGTTGGGCCAGAATCTTTACAACTGCTGGGCATGTGCTTATCTTTTTTTCCTTTTCCTTCCTCTGGGGGCTAGAAAGATATATTAAAACCAAGCCAAAGCCACTGCCACTGAGTCAATTATGACTCATAGCGGCCTTACAGGAGAGAGTAGAACTGCCCCACAGGGTTTCCAAGGCTGTAAATCTTCAACACAAGCAGACCGACTCACCTTTCTCCCACAGAGTGGCTGGTGGGTTTGAACTGATGATGTTTTGGTTATCACCTGAATGCTTTAACCACTGAGCCACCAGAGCTCCTTAAGGCACTTTTAGGTGGGAGGAAATAAAATCTAAGTTTATTAATATGAAACATTGTAGTTAAGTCTATATCCCATCTAGGTCTATTCTGGATGTGATCAGATCATTAGGATCAAACGGAAGGGCCTCGACTCCTCACAGAATCCAACACACTCTCTCTCTTAAAACACCCACTTACGATGAGCCCTTCTGACCTGTCTTTACTATCACCACTTTGCAAGCTGGAGGACTGTGTGTGGGTCTCATGGCACCCTCTTTCAGGTTCATCTAAATTCTACTCTGTCTCTTAATGTGTGCACTATGAGGTTTGGGCCTTTCTCAGTTTCATAAGGATGCCATTTTCTCCTCTAACATTTGTTCATTTTGGTGAAAATAAGGATGGAAGTTTTTGTAAACATGGCTTGTTTTTCTCACTAGTACTCTAGTCTTTTTCATGTTTTAAAGACAGAAGAGAGTAAAGATTATAACCATAACATGTCTGCTAGTTACAGCAGAATCTGTAAATCAGAGTCTACTGAGTACAATCTGAGAGAATTAACTGCTCTCAAAGGAGAAAACTCTCTCCCCAACAATCAAGTTTTTACTCAAAAATTTTATACAATAACATCCTTTTATTAAGTTTCTTTTTTTCTGGTTATTAAAGGAATACATGCTCATTTTAGAAAATCTAGAAAATACAGGAATGTTTAAAAAAGAAAATAAATATTATCCATAATTCCACACCAACCAGAGTTAATCACTCTGTAGGTTTTATTCTTTAAACATTAAATCTTATTAGCTCACTAAGACACCTACAATCTAGTCAAAGATGCAGACTGCCTTCTTTCATTCAAGTCTGTCCCCACAGAATGAAACATAAAAAAACACACTCAAATAGAACAAAATAGAGTTTCTTTACCAAGTAGTTTCTTACAAAATTTCCATTTTCCAAATTCCTATGAGTCAGAGACTCTAATACAGACTACCAAGCATTTATTAAAATAATAAGAACAAAGAAGAGAAGAAGGGGCAAGGGGCTATCTCCAGACTCCTCCTCGACTCCTCATGCTACTAGGAGCAGGATGCCCACTTTTCTTCCGTCCTGGAGGTTTTTCAGTCTTAGTGACTGTAGGAAGGCGGCGAGGGATAGCCTGGGGGGGAACCTGAGAGTTGGGGAAAAACAGAAAAGTCAGTGTCATCTCAATCCCCCAACTCCACTGAGGAAAGGCATAGTGCACGGAAAGAGCTAGAATCAAACAACAAAAGGGAAAGAACACGCTACAGAAAAATGGGAAGAGGACTTGGAGGTCAGGCAACACAGAAATGAAGCTAAGCAGGGAATATGAAGAGTTGAAGGAACTGATTAGTGAGAGCCCTTTCATCCCCCTAGGGACGCAGGGAATATGAAGAGTTGAAGGAACTGATTAGTGAGAGCCCTTTCATCCCTAGTCCCTGCCCACCGTTCCCTCACCTCTTTGCGGAGGATCTCACCCAAGCGGGAGTCGGCATTCCTTCGGGGAACATTATCCCCTTGGCCATCAGCCCTGCCACACAAATCAAGGGTATGAGGACAGAGGAGCTATTTCCCCCACTTTACCCAGCTCTGAATGGAAGAACTACTCTTCAATTCTGTCTCTTAAGAATGACAGCAAACAACAAAGACCTGGGGATGAAATGGGAGGAGACGTGAGCAGAATCAACGAGTTGTACTAGGTAGTTAAAATTCCAGGATTCTGAGTTCCAAGTTACAGGATAAAGAGGAAAAAAGCAAGGTAGGAAGAGATGGAGAAGAGAATTTTTGTCTTAAAAGTAGTAAAGAAAACAGATGTAGAAAGATAGCAGCACTATTCACATAGTCAAAAAGTAGAAAGACCCCAAATATCCACCAATGGATAAATGGATAAACAACATGTAGTATATCCTTACAATGAACCTTCCTTCAGCCATAAAAAGGAATGAAGTTCTGTAGTTTGAGCAAAGATTCTATAGAAGAATCTTGATCAAAAGGGGAGAAATGCAGAAGAGATTTCAAATTCTCAGTTTCTAGACTTTCTAGAGCTATGGAGACTAGATGAACCCTGAAACTATTGATCTGAGAGAATCTTAAATCTTAAGCTAAGAATATCCCTTAGTCTTCTTAAACCAAACAAAAACTAAGCTTAACTAATAAAGAATGTCACCTTGAGCATTATGCTCTTTCAAGATCTGTCTGTCTGTATGGGATCAAATTGACAACTCGAAAGATTAGATAGGAACCTTAAGGAGCAGTGATTTTATGTGAATGAAGGAGGAACAATTCAGAGGGTGAAAATGGTTGCACAACTCAATGAATGTAATCAATGCTACTGAGTTGAACGTGTACAAACTGTTGAACTGATGTATGTTTTGCTACAGCAAAGTAAATAATTTAAAAAAAAGGAATGAAATTGTGATTCATGCTACATTATGAATGAACCCTGAAAATACTATGCTAAGTGAAAGAAGTCAGACATAAAAGGTCACATGCTATATGACGTAGGAAATATCCAGACTAGGCAAATCCTCAGAAACAGAGAGCAGGTAAGTGCTATCTATCACTGGTTGGGGGAAGAGGAGAGTGGAAAGTAACTGCTTAATGAGGTTTCATTTTAGGGTGATGAAAATGTTTTAGAACTAGATAGCGGTGGTGATTATACAGCATTGTGAATGTACTAAATGCCACTGAATTGCCTGCTTTAAAATCCTTAACTTTATGTGAATTGTACATCAATTTGAAAAAATTAAAAAGCAGTACAAAGAGACAAAAGATGTAGAGCAGTGAGAGATGTAAGTAGAAGACTTGCTGATCTGTATCTCATTCCTCACTTTTCTCCCTATGTGTAGAGGACAAAAGGACCCACCCAGTCAACAATACAGCACACACAACTCTTTGCTGCCTGATCTGCTTCCCGCCCCATAATCCAGATTCCATTCCCTGACACTTCCTTGTCCATCCCCAGTTTGTACCCGCTGTGTTCCATCCTCTTCAGGTGGAGCAGCAAATCCTCAGGAGGAAGTGTCCCCAACCCCCGAGCTTGACACAATCGCAAGAGTTGAGACATCTCCATCAGCTGCCTCAGGGATGGTAGCCCATCGCTACCTGAGAGACATATAAATAATGGTCATCATTCTAGGGCTCCTCTCCGCAGCTCTCATCCTGCTCCCCAGGAATCTAGAAGGACCTGAAGTTCTAGGTACTGGTTTCATATCCACTAAACCATGTGGTACTTACCCCTCTCCGGGGAGCCACTGCTGGGACCACTGCCCGGTGAATGGGTTGAAGGAAGCTCAGGTACCCGGAAAAGACTAGAAGCCATGGCTACAGGTACTTTAGTTTTATAGACAGGGGGTGGAAGGCGTGGCACCTGAGAGGCTTCCTCCCAAGATGGGACAATCAAAGGACCTAGCAAAAGGTAAAAAATTCAAGAATGAGGCACTGGGGAAAAAGGGCCAAGGATGCCCTACCTGCCAACATTTATTAGGCTTTATCACCTCTGTCAGCTTCTGAAAATCCATCAAGATACCCAATTCCCATCTTTTCCAGGTCCCAACCCCAACCTCCTTGAGTCAGAACTCACCAGACTTAGGGGGCAAAAGGTCAACAGAGGAATTGTCATTGTTCTGGGGTACTGTCTCCAGCAGCTGGGGAGACAAGGTAGTTAAGTTCTCAAGAGAACTGATAAAGAAAGAGACCAAGGTTTCTAAGGGAAGTAGAGGCTGGTGAAGTAAGAGCTGGGGTTGGCTGCCTAACTTCTAGGTGAGAATTCTGGAATAGGAGTAAGATAGAATGGGAGAGTATGAAGGTAGAAAAAATTATTAGTCCTAGATAAGGGAATGAAGCCACAGTTCTAGATTCTTAGAGTAGAAAGAGAAAATGAGGAAAGGAGAGAAAAAAAAAGGGTAGTCTGGTGGATACTTCCTTACCTGGTGCAAAAAATGCTTAAGGCCATCCAGCTGAGCAGAGGGCGGCAGTCCCTGCTTTAGGAAGCCATCCCCGTCAGTTCCAGGGTCTTCTTCAGGGAATGGATGTTCTGCCCTGTGATCAGGATCGAAGGCCCCAACTGCAAAGGAAAGGGCCCAAGCTCTAAAATGAAATAGGTGTGTGTGTTTACGTACGCATGCACATGTGCACGTGTGTTGTGGGAGAGGGGGTTCGTCCACAAATTAACTCACCAGAAAAAAGGGGCCCATTAAATATAAGAGGGACATCACAGCTAGGAGAAGAACACAATGGACGTTTAAAAGAGCTGCAAAGGGAAGAGCTGAAGGAGACTAGGAAGTGACACACCTAAATTCTAAGAAGTGTAGACAGGAGAAAGCTGTGACAATCAGACTCTAAATAAAAAATACCACCATAAACTCCTTAAAGAACAGAAAGCAATATTCAGAATATTTTAGGATTAAAAGATACACTTTGGCCCCTTCACTAGAACATGTGCACTGTTTTCAAAAACTACTATTATGTAATATAAAAAATTTTAATTGTTATATAATTCACCTCTCATTCTTGATCCAATCTAGACAGTCACATTTGTGCCACAGAAAACACCCCCTACCCACCCATGCCAGAGCTGACTAAACCAGGGGAAGATACCATGTCCAAGGTCAGCCAAACCAATGGGTAGTTACCAACCCATATAAATGCCTCTCTTCAAATTGGATCCAAGAAATGTAGACACCAGTGTCTCAATAAGGTTTCATGGTATCTTGGATGGGGTCAGTGTCATGGCTGGCCAAACCCACATGGAGCAAGGGAGCAAAAATCTTGAGTGAGCAAGTTACTGGTCTACCAAGATAAAGGAGTAATATGCAGGGAAAGGTAGAATCAAAAGACCATGAAGGCCCAAAGAGAGACAGCCCCCTGTTACCAATATCAGTTCCCACTTCCATGAGATCTCATTTCCTTTATTTGAACTAACTTGAGTATGATCACTAAGACACCTGGTAAACGAAATGCTCCAGTCACAGACAGAAAAGAAGCTAGTTAAGAGGGAGCCGCTTAGTAGATGTACGGTGACCACAATGACTTCTATCCCTAGTTACCTGTGGATGGAGTAAGATCTGGCTTTGGTTCTAGGGGCTGGAAGGAATGCTGACTTTGGAAACTGGGACCTAGTAGGATGCTAAGATCTGGGGAAGGGCTGCAGAGAACAGGAGGCACTCTAGGTGGCTCGTCCCTTGTTTCCCGGCTCTGCTGCAATACAGGCTTCAAGGCCACGGCCACAGGAGGCACAGTCCAGATCCTCCTCTCCCCTTTCTCTGGCTCCTGAAGCCCAGGGCTGGAGGGGCCAGCAGTAGGGACCTGTACAGAAGAAAGAGGTAGGAAGAAGGATCAAGGTCAGTGGGCCTGACACCAAAGCCCTTTATCTGAACAGGCAATTCCATCTAGACCAAGGTCTCTTATAAATATATATGCAAAATCCTTAACAAAATACTAGCAAACTGAATCCAACAACATAGTTTTTTTGTTTTATTTATTAATTTTTGCAGTGTTCCCTCCCCTCCCTTATAACCAACAAAGAAAGTTTCCTTCCATATATAAACCTTTCCTTGATTTTTTACAATTATGAACTAATTCAGTATTTGTCCTTCCGTGATTGATTTCTTTCACTCAGCATAATGTCCTCCAAGTTCATTGATGTTATACGGTGTTTTGCAGAGTCTACATTATTCTTCAGTGTTGCATAGTATTCTATTGTGTGTGTGTACCATAGTTTGATTATTCATTCTTTTCTTGATGGGCATCTCGGTTGTTTCCACCTTTTTGCTATTGTAAATCATGCTGTGACGAACGTAAGTGTTCATACATATATCTGTTGTTGTCCTGGCTCTCACTTCTTTATGATATATATCTAGGAATGGGATTGCAGGATCAAATGGTATTTCTAATTCCAACTTTTAAGGCATTGCCATACTGCTTTCCACAGTGGTTTTATCATGATAGTCCCACCAGCAGTGTAAGAGAGTTCCAATCCCTCTACGTCCTCGCCAGCATTTGTTATTTTCTGTCTTGTTGAACTTTGATATTAGTGCTGGGGAAAGATAGTATTTCATTATTGTTTTGATTTGCATCTCTCTAATGGCTAGTGATCGTGAACATTTCTTCAATGTTTGTTAGCTGTCTGAATATCCTTTTTGGTGAAGTGTCTATTCATGTCTTCTGCCTATTTTTTAATTGGACTGTGTGTCTTATTGTTGTTGAAGTGTTGGGGTTTTCGATAAATTTTAGAGATAAGTCCCTTGTCAGATATGTCATTGCTGAATATTTTTCCCAGTCTGTAGGTTCCCTTTTCACTCCTTTGGAAGAGTGTTTTAAAGCACATAAAAATTTAGTTTTTAGAAGGTCTCATTCATCTAGTTTATCTTCTGCTGTTTGTGCATTTTGGGTTATACTTGACAGTCTATTTATGCCAAAAATTAGGGCCCTAAATTTGCCCCTATTTTTTCCTTGAGGAATTTTATAGTTTCATGTTTCACATTTAAGTCTTTGATCCACCTGGAGTTAGTTTGTGTGTATGGTGTGAGGTACGGATCTTGTTTAATTTTTCTGCAAATGGATATCCAGTTTTGCTAGCACCATTTATTTATCAAAGAGACCATCTCTTACCCATTTAAAGGATTTCAGCCCTTTGTCAAAAATCAGCTGACCATAGGTCAATGGATCTATTTCTGGGTTCTCAATTCCGTTCCACTGGTCTATGTGTCTGTTGTTGTACCAGTACCATGAAGTTTTGACTACTGTGGCTGTATAGTAGGTTTTAAGATCCAGGAGCGTGAGCCCTATTTTGTTCTTCTTCTTCAGTAGTGCTTTGTTTATCCGAGGTCTCTTTCCTTTCCATATAAAGTTAGTGATTGGTTCTTCCATATCCTTAAAGAATGTTGATGGGATCTGGATGGGGATTGCACTAAATGTACAGATTGCTTTGGGTAGTATTGACATTTTCACAATGTTCAATCTTCCTATCCATTAGCATGGTATGTTCTTCAATTTAATGTAGATCTCTTATGGTTTCTTGAAGTAGTCTTTTATAGTTTTCTTTGTACAGGTTTTTTGTGTCCCTAGTGAGATTTATTCTCACATATCAGGGAAATTCTCCTACAACAAATCTTCAACAATTTTTCTGTGGTTTTATTTGTCACTTCCTGTTCTGAAATTCTGATTACATGTATGTTATTCCTCTTGATGGTCTCTCACATGAACCTTAGGCTTTCTTCATTTTGTTGTACTTGTCTTCAATCTCACTAATTCTCTCTCCCATAGATTCTACTCCTTTGCTTGTTCAATGTGTTACCTATTTCTGAGAATTTATTATCAATCTTCTGGATTTCTATCTGTAGATTTTTTATCATTTCCAATTTTTCATTTATTTTGTCATTTTGTTCTTGCATTCTCTTCTGAAATTGTTCTAGAGTTTTCTATTTTCCTCAATTTGTCAGTGTTTCCCTTGATCTGTCTCTCAATCCATTGAAAGTACCTAAATATAATTCTTTTGAATTCCTTATCAGGGAATTCCAATGCTGCTTCTTCCTCAGGGATGTGTTCTGGGTCTGTAACCTGGACTGTGATGGTCTGTTGTCTCTGAGACACTGATGTTTTTGTGTTTATATTTAATTGGTGACTGTACGTTAGAGTGATTCGCCCAAGATTTTAGTTTTGTTTTGTTTGGATGCATCTGAGTTAAGTAGGGTACTTTGGTCCTCTACTCGCTAGTTGGCAGCATTTATACACTCATCGTCTGTCTCCTTTCCAGTCATCAGCCTCCTTGATGTCCATGCAGTTTTTGGCAAGTGGAGCCTATTCTTAGGTCCCTGGAATCTGAATGAGACTGCTGTCACATTAAATATCCAAACTGGCTGCACCCTCCAGAGAGCCAGAAGTCCACAGCTCAGCTTGTCTCCTTCTTTGCTATTTACACTTTTAGTCATCAGCCACCGGCGCAGTTGTCCATGCAGCCCTTGGCAAGCAGGACCAATTTTTAGGTTAATTCTCAGGTCCTAACCAACAACACCGCTGGTAGTGTAGTGGATAAGGCACTTGTCTCCTAACCAGAAGGTCAGCAGTTCAAACCCACCAGCCCCTCTGTGGAAGAAAGATGGGGCGATCTACTTCCACAAAGATTTACAACCTCTGAAACCCAATGGGGGTCGCTATCAGTCAGAAACAACTTGATGGCAGTGAGTTTGTTTTTTTTTGTTTAACACCACTTGGAAATATTCAGCCTGTCTATGCCATCAGGATAGCTGACAGTGCGCAGCTCCATTTGTCTCTTTACTCACTGTTTTCATTCAGGTTCTTCTACTAGTTGATGTTTAATCTACTTCTGTATCCTTCCTTTCAAAATTCAAGGCCCCAGGATTATCTTCTGTATCTGTGTCATTTTATTTCTCTTTTCTTTGTTGAAGAGGGTCTGCGTATCTTGTCCGCCTATTCTGTCATCTTAATGGAAGTCCACCCAACAGCAGGTTTTTAAAAATTATACCTAAGTGGTATTTATCCCAGGAATCCAAGGGTACTTCAACATAAGAAAATTAATCAACATAATACATCACATTAATAGAACAAAGGTAAAAACATACTACTATTGCAACTGATGGAGAAAAGACATCTTACACCTTATCCTGATAAAAACACTCAACAAACTGGGAATAGAATAGAACTTCCTCAACAGGGTTTCTATAAGTCAGAAATCAACTTAACAGCAGTGGGTTTTCCTCAACATGATAAAGGGCATTTACAACCGAAGATGCATGGAAAGAATTAGTTCAAGGGACTGGTAAACCATGCAATCTGCAGCCTATATAACCATGAGACTAGAAGAACCAGACTGTGCCTGGCTACCATGCTCAATAACTCAGAGGGGGACTGGTGCAGAAGATCCTGGATAGACAGATTGGTAAGGAAGAAGTCAAAGTAGCCCTATTTGCTGATGATATGATCCTATACCCAGAAAACCCAAGAGACTCAGTCAAAAATCTACTGGAACTAATTGAGAGATTTAGGATCATGGCAGGATATAAGATCAACATCCAAAAATCAGCTGGATTCCTCTACACCAGCAAAGAGATTGCTGAAAAAGAAATAAGGAAATCAATACTGTTTTCAATAGCTACCCAAAATATAAAATACTTTGGAATAAATCTTACTGGGGACACAAAAGACCTCTACAAAGAAAACTATAAAAAACTACTTCAAGAAAACGTAAGAGAGCTACATAAATGGAAGAACATCCCATGCTCGTGGATAGGAAGACTGAACATTGTGAAAATGTCAGCTGTACCCAAAGCAATCTATACATTCAATGCAATCCCAAACCAGATCCCATCAACATTCTTTAGGGATATGGAAAAACCAATCACTAACTTTATATAGAAAGGAAAGAGACCTCGGATAAGCAAAGCACTACTGAAGAAGAAAAACAAAGTAGGAGGTCTCACA